AAGGAACCCCCTTGACTTTTTGGCACTGCAGAGCAGCTGGGCACCACTACGGCCCCTTGGACTGAGCTCAGTGGGTGATTAATGGGAACATCATGGGGTTTTGACACAGGACGAGTCCTCCTGCCAGAGCTGGGGACCCTATGGAGTGTGCAGAGCCATTTCCAAAGAAAAAAGGGGTTTAGGAGCCTGCAACTGTCTGATGCCCATAAACCTCCCTCCAAAAATCACAGCTTCCCACCCTGCCAAACCACCTCCCACGTGAGCATCCTTCATCCCCCTGAGGCCAAACCCAAACAGGCACTGCCTGTGAACCTGGATACCATGGATCTGGGGGAAAGCCAGCATCTCCCTGAAGCCCCCTTGCTGACCCCTTTCCCCACAGGTCTCTGGAAATTCCAGTTTGCTGGGAAGCTGGGAAAAATGGTTGGTTTGGCTCCAATTTGGCTGGTGCCCAAGCACTGATGAATGAGGTTTCCTGTGCTCCACCAGCCTCTGCTCTCAGTGGGGCTGGGGAGGGGTTTTCCTGGCTCTGGGGCTCTGCAGTGTCCGTGCAGTGCTGGTATCCAGAGATCCCAGCAAGGGAGGCCTTTCCCAAGGTTGGTATTTCCAGCGGGTGTCAGATCTCCATTGTTGTGCATGTGAGCACCTCCAGGGCTGGTGCAAGAGGGGCTGCTGCTGCTGTGGGACTTTGTGTTGGGCAAGGCTGCATCTCCAAAGCTCTGTGGCATCCCATCCTACAAAGCTTTGGCTGGGATCACATCCCACGTGTAGGTGAAGCGGCCCAGGAAAGCAGGTGAAATGCTTGTAACCTTGAAGACATCGGTCCCTCTGTGTTGCCCTGAATCCATGCTGTGCCCCAGCGCCCACCAAGGATGGGCTCAGAGACATCCATGAGGCAATCTGCAGAGCAGAGGGACCGGTCCCCACTCTCCCCACCCCTCTCAGGGGTGCTGGGGTGGGTAATGGACACCCATGTGCTCCCAGAGTGCAGTACCACAGGGGGACGGGAGGTATCCAAGGATGTGAGAAATGTGTTGCCACGGAGACGGATGCTGAACTGCTGGCAGGGATGCAGGCGTGGGGATGCTGGGTGAGACGTGGTGTCCCCGCCGGCTGCCCTGGGCCAGGAGGATGCTGCCCATCATCTTGCATTGCCATCACCAGCTGCATGGAGACGTTGTCCTCCCCCTCCATGGACTGCGTGTGCTGCCACACGTGTGCCATGGCCGGACTCTCACTGCAGCGTGTCTGCACTTATGAAGGAGCAGGACTTGCTCCCAGCATTTGGGATAAGCTCCTTGGCTTGCCAGGCCTCCAACCCCCCGCCCCGGCGGAGGCAGAGATGCCCCTGGTGCAGTTCCACACCCCAGAGTCACCCAGAAATGAGGAATTAAGGAGTCTGACAGCAAGTCTTTCTTAGGGGAGATGTAAAGCATCAGCTCTGAGAGCAGTGGGAGAGGGTGGTTGTGCAAAGGATGCTCCTTTGGGGGCATTTGTGGCCCTGGTGCTGGCTGGGAAGAGCTGGTGATTTTTCTGGGTATATCCCAGCCCTATAGCTCAAGCCCATTTCCCCCTTATTTTATCATTAATCACACTTTTGGGTTCCCCATCCCATTTCTCAAAGTGTTGAAGGGTGCTTCAAGACCTTTGTCCGTGTGATCCATCCCTCTGAGCAACCGAGTTGCTTCTGGAGGGAAGGGGAAGGATTCCCTCCTGACTTTGACCTCAAAAAGAGCTTTTTATATTGGCTGTGCAGCCTTATGTGTTACTTTCCCCAGTGGCTGTGGTTTCCTGGGCATGACAGCTCTGGCACCCATTGGTACAAATCACTGCACAGAGCATCCTTCTTCCTCTCCCTCTGGACTCTGAGTTTAAAGGCTCCTGTTTTATTTGCTGATGAATTCAATCAATTATCACAGTGTACCATCCTCTAAGCTCCTTTCCCAGATGCAGTGATGCTGCCCTGAGGGAGAGGGGAGGGGAAAAAAACCACCTCAGCAATCCAAATATTTCATCTAAATGAACAGCTTTTATTCTGATCCTTTGGAAAAAGAGGAACACCCCAAAACCTGGGGTTTATCCAGTTTTTCCCTGGATAAAAGATGCATTTAAAGCCTGGGGAGTCCTCTCTGCAGAGGGATGGGGTGCAATGGGAAGCTCACCCCCGATCCTGGAGCAGTGATTGTGCTTTATCACCAGAAGTGCACACTCAGCTCTTGAGGGAGGCTGAAGGCAGCAGAAATGCTCCTTATCAGCATGATCCTCACCCCAGCACTCACTTGCCCTAGGACAAGGGTTTATGGCATCAGGAAGCTGGTCCTGGTGCAGGTGTCAGGGACACTTGTGAGCCGGGCTTGGCTGCATGGGGCAGCCCAAGTGGGGCCATGCTCTTGAGTGAGGCTAGAGGTGGATGGGAAGGGGATGGTTTCCACTCTAGGATCTCCTCAGGCTCCATCCCCTGCTCTGGGACCAGCCCAAGGATGTGCACTGACATTGAAAGGCCCTTATAAAGCAGCGAGCCATCAGCTCAGGGTCCTTAAATGATGCCCATGTCCTGGGAGGACACTAAATCTGTGCAGGATCCCAACAGTCAGCTCCTGGGGAGTCCTCGGTCACAGAGCAGACGTGCCCAGTGCCAGGCATGTGGCTGGTCAAGCATTAAAAGCCTGGCCAGAAATTGTCCCCCCTCCTTCATCCTTTACCCTTCAGCCTTCATCCTTCAACCCTTCTCCTTTATCCTTCCTCCTTCACCTCTCAGCCTCCATTCCCTGTCATTCATCCCTCCACCTCCCTTCCTCACCAGCCAGGGTAAGGGAAGAGGCCAACGTGCTCCCTCTGCACCATCACCCAATAAAAGTCCATTGTTCCTCCCTTTCCCCCGCTTTCTTTAATAACCAAAACCAACCCCAGCTCTGTGGCACGTGAGCGTGACTGCTCAGGGAGCATCCATCATCCTCTGTGAGCCCGCAGAGCTTATCTCAGCTGCTGTTAAAGCCTGGCCATAAACGTGCCTTCAGCCTCTTCTGAAAGAGATGAAGTGGCTGCACCGGCCGCGCTGATGCTATCGCCGCCCGGCTCAGTGGAGCTGTGCTCCCGGCCAGCACGAGGACAAGGCAGCTGAATTGCTGCCAGGAGGAGAACCGGGGTCTTTTCCAGCCAGGCTGCTCCTAACCCCAGCCTGGGAAGGAGGCAGGTTCCCAAGGCAGCTTTGTTCCAGTTGGGAATCCCCCATTTTCCAGCCTTCACAGGATGCCGTGGAATTGGGGATCGACCCCCAGATGTGAATCAGGGCTTAATGATTCCCCTTGGAATCAACGGGCCTTTGATTCTTTATCCTTATATTTAGTGATAAGATGCTAACTTTGCGCCCCAGTTTTGGGGTTCTGTGGGGGACCATTGTGGCTGTTTCAGGCAGCAGCTTGGCTCTGCTGAGGAGCTGGGCTCTGGAACCAGCATCCTCAGGGGAAGCATCTTGCAAGCAAGCCTTTCTTAGCAATAAAAACTTGATTTAGGAAGGTAAAACCAAAGCAAACCCAGCAAAGTCAAAGAGGGTGCATCAGCAGAATGGTCATTTGGTGGTGTCTGGCAGAGGGAGGATGGGAACTGCTGGTTTCACCATCAGTTATCACTTCATGGTGCTCCTATTGATGCCAGGTTTGGCCAGGGAGCTGGCTCAGCATCCACTGCAGTCAGGCATTGGAACGGGGCAGGGCTGGAGTCACCGTCCCTGCAAGTGTTCACAGACCATATGGACGAGGCCTCAGTGCCATGGGTTAGGGGTGCCCTGACTGATGATCCTGTCCTCCAACAGGGTTGATTCGATGGAGCTGTGGCAGCCCTGAGCATCCCCGAGCCCCGCACCAGGACAGGCAGCGCTGGCTCTCCTGCCCGCCATCACCGTCCTGCAGCACAGGTTGGATTTTACTCTTGCCAGCTCAGGCAGATTTAATAAAGCCATTATGCCCCTGGCAATGTCTTTAATTAAAGAGCTGGTTACAAACGGCTCCTGTTGCAAGAGGAGAGTGCTCTGCATTGCAGGGGCTCATTTGGCTGGGGAGCTGCTGCTGCTGAATCCCTGTGCATGGGGCAGTGGCTTTGTCCCTGCTGTGTGGATGGGAGAAGCAACCATGGCCATTTAATCACATTGGGTTGAGGGCTGTGATGTGCTTTTGGCTGCTGGAAGCCATAGAATCATGGACAGTTCAGCTGGATGCGGTTGGGAGCAAGGATAAAGCTGTTTTTTTAGTGCATTGCTGGTCTCAGCTGAGGGCAAAGCTCGTTGTCCTGGCATATCCTAAAGGATGAACCGGCTCGGGGGCTTTTCCAAGGGTCTCAGCTGGACCAGGCACCCTCCAGCCCTTTCCGGCCGGGACACAGCAGCACAGCTCAAGGTCTGCAGTTTATGGTGGCTTTTATGGCTCGGCGGATCCCCTGCGGTAAACAACCCCCGCTGATAAAGCCGGGCTGCAGATGGGAGGTGACAGCAGCTCCCAGGGCAGCGCCATTCCCTGGGTCCTGCTGCACAGGGGCTGCTCCCCAGGATCAAGGCGGTGGCGATGGAACTCTGCCCTGGGCTGCAGCAGGGCCTGGACTTCGCTCTTGGTGCGAAGCATGGAACCATGGACCCATGGAACCAGGGGCTGGGTTGAAGGGACCTTAAAGCTCATCTCCAGTTCCAACCCTGGGACCTCGATTCTGCCCCCCAGCGCTTCCATTTGGCTTCCACTTTACTCAGCCCCTCCTGAGCAGAGGCACCCAAAGCCCCCACTGAGCCCCCCAACAACAGCCCCTCACCTTCTCCTCCCCAGTGGGAACGTGTGTTGTGGGGCACAATCCCCACCACCACCGAGGTGTGGGTCAGCAGGGCCAGAACCCGGGTGCAGTCAGGGAGGGGGATGCTCAGGGGCTGGAGCAGATCCCAAATGGAGCCAGGCTGAGAGCATTGGGGCTGCTCAGCGTGGAGAAGAGAAGCTGCGTGGAGACCTCAGAGCAGCTTCCAGTGTCTGAAGGGGGCTACAAGGATGCTGGAGAGGGACTCTTCATCAGGGACTGTGGTGATAGGACAAGGGGTGATGGGTTCAGACTGAAACAGGGGAAGTTCAGGTTGGAGGTAAGGCAAAAGCTCTTCCCCGTGAGGGTGCTGATGCTCCAGCTCCCGTGGGTGCTCTGCCTCGGGTCCCTGTGAGGATCCAGACTCAGGGATGCTTCCGATCCCTGCCTGGTCTCTGCATCCCCGGGACGAGCCGGAGCCGAGGATGCTCCAGGTCCTGCCGGCACCGCGGGCTCCTGCTGACACCTGGTGGCGGCCTGGGGACCAGACAGAGACACACAGAGACAGAGACAGAGAGAGACAGGACGGGGAGACGAAGAGGAGGGGACCTCCCGAGAGGGCCAGAGCCAAAAGGGGGACCCCCGCATCTCCCCCATCATCATCTCCATCTTCCCCATCATTTTCCCCGTCATCCACCTCATCTGCCCGCATCATCTCCATCATCTTCCCATCACCTCCCTCCCCATCTCCCAAGCCTTTTCCCCTCAGGAACATCCCATGGGGTGTGTGTGTGGGGCACAGGGTGTATTTGGTGCTCCTGGAGGGGCTTCCGGAGCTGTAAATGGAAGCGGAGGTTCCCCAGGGCCATGTCACCCATCCCCAACCCACCAGCCAAGGGTCCTGCAGCACAACCCTCCCCCCCCTTCCCCCCCCCCCCAGTGCTGCTAATGGGTGCAGGTGATTAACGAGGCCCAATTAACGCCCTGCTCCCCCCGCAGCATGCCCGGGGTGCTACCCCCCTACTTCATCCTCCGTTGCCACAGCAACGCGGTGGCCGCATCCCTGCCTCAGACACTGTCACGCTGGGCCCGGCTCAGGCAGCGCCTCCTGGCACCCACAGGTAGGTTGGGGGGCACAAACGGGGGCTCGGGGGGGGGGGGGGGCAGCTGCTTCAAATCCCCCTCCAATGCATTGCTCAGAGCCCCCCCCGCCCTGAGCTGGATGAGCCCTGTCCCCTGCATGAGCCCCCATTGAAAGCAGGGAGAGCAGAGACTGGGGATGGAGGGGGCAGAGATGTGGGGTGGGAGGGGACAGGCAGGGACCCACCATGGGATGGCTTTTCCGAAGGGCCCAGCTGCCTCCGGCTCTCCCACCACTTGGTGGGATGGATTTAGGGGTGAGGGGTTTCCCAAGAGCACCTCCCCGTGTCCTGCTGCCGGCTGATGTGGCTGGGGGGGGGGGTTAGTCCCAATCCCTCATCCTCAGCATGGGAGTGGGATGTGCCCTGTGCTCAGGGCCAGATGTTTGCATCTGGCAGGATGGGTACCCAGTGGGATTCCCATTGGAACCAGCAGCCCCATGGCAGTGCTGAGGGTCCTTGGGGGCTGTTGTGGTGCAGGAGGGACACGGAGCCCCTCTCTGCCCATCACCCCAGCCTGGACCCTGTGTCCACGCCACGGCCCCGGGCGATGAGGCCGCCTTTGCAGTGCAACCTAATGGGATAAACCAATTCCCTTAACTCACTTACCCGGCTGATCCAATAAAGGTGGCTGAGAACAAAGTGTGTGCGTGGCCTAATGCATCCCCCCTCCCTTCCCCAGCTCCCCCCAGTCCTGGCAGCACCGTGGGTCCGGCTGCCGGGTGCTCCTCCCCAGGGGCAGCCGCAGTGGGGCTGTGGCAGAGGTGGGACATTGGCCCTGGTTGAAGCAGAAGCAGGAGAAGTGGCAGTGCTGATCCCCAGGGATTACCCAGAACGAAGCAGGACGTGGGTGCAGGTGAGTGGTGGGGGCCATGGGGCAGGGCTCTGTGGGGCTGGGTACCACCATGTGTCTGTTCCATGAGGGTTTGCACAGCCCCATAACCCCAAGGGACATCGGTTTGGTCATAGAGGGGAGGGGTCACAAGGGTGCTCATCCCTGTGCTGCCTTACCCTAGGAGGGTTTGTGGGGGTTGTTGTGGGGCTCTGGGGATGGAGGGGCTGGGGAATGGGCAAGGGTGGGCCATGGGATGGGCCTGGAGTGGAAGGGATGGGGATGGAGGGATGAGGATTGAGGGACAGAGATGGCTATGGAGGGATGGAGCTGGGGATGGAGGGATGGGGATGGACAGATGGGGATAGAAGACAGATGGGGATGGAGGGATGGGGATGGAGGGATGGAGCTGGGGATGAAGAGATGGGGATGGAGGGATGGGGATGGAGGGATGGGGATGGAGGGATGGAGCCGGGGATGAAGGGATGGGGATGGAGGGATGGGGGGATGGGGATGGAGGGATGGAGCCGGGGATGAAGGGATGGGGATGGAGGGATGGGGATGGAGGGACAGGGATGGGGGTGGAGGGAGAAGGAGGGCGATGAATGGATGGGGCTGGAGGGACAGGGCTGCGGCTGGAGGGCAGGACTCGGGGTCTGGGGCTGGTGCAGGCTCTGGGCAGGAGCAGGCAGCAGGGGCCGGAACCGGAGCCACCTCCGGGCGCGGGTGACGCAGCGGCCCCGGCGGCACCAGGAAGCGCCGGGCCCCGGCAGGTGAGGGCGGAGCCGGGCGCTGCCCGCAGCGGGACCCGGCCGCCAGCGCTCGCCCCGCTCTGCCCCGCAGCATGGACGGGGCCGCGGCGCCCGCCCGCCCCGCGGGGCTCTGCGCCTTCGTGGCGGTGTCGCAGGCGCTGGGGCTGGCGCTGCTGCTCACCACGGGGGCCTGGCTCGGGCGGTACCGCGGCGGCCTGGGCTGGCAGAGCGCCCTGCAGCTGAACGTGCACCCGCTCTGCATGGTGCTGGGCTTGGTCTTCCTCCAGGGTGACGGTGAGCGGCCCCGCGGGGGGGGAAGGGACAAAGCGGTCACAAACGGAGACCGGGGAAGATGCTCCGGGACCCCCCCCCCCCCCCCCCATCTCCGTGCGCGCAGCGCCCCGGGGACGTGGGGGACGCCCATGGGTGCTCATGGGCTGTCTCCGGCAGCTCTCCTCGTGTACCGCGTGTTCAGGAACGAACCCAAGCGATCCACCAAGGCGCTGCACGCACTGCTCCATGGCTTGGCGCTGCTCATCGCCCTCGTCGGTGGGTGCTGTGGTCTGGGTGGGTGCATAGGGATGGATCCGGTAACGGGTAACGGGCTCCTGTCCGCAGGCATCATCGCAGTGTTCGAGTCCCACCGGGCCAAGGGCATCCCCAACATGTACAGCCTGCACAGCTGGTGCGGGATGGCCACCTTCGTGCTCTACCTCCTGCAGGTGAGCGCTGGGGACACCCTGAGCACCCTTCCGGGGCCCCACAGAGTTCTCTGTAACATCCCCGTGCCCCACAGTGGCTCCTGGGCTGTGGTTTCTTCCTGCTCCCCGGTGCCTCCTTCTCGCTGCGGGGCCGCTACAAGCCTCAGCACATCTTCATCGGCATCGCCCTCTTTGCCCTCTCCATCACCTCCTGCTTGCTGGGCATCACCGAGATGCTCCTCTTCAACATCAGGTGGGTGATAGGGCTGGGGGGTTCTAGACCCCAGGCTCCCTGCAGCCCAATGGGCAGAGCCTGGCCCCTGCTCATGCTGGGGCTGTTACATCTCCCCCCTCCAAGGCCTTTAATTCTGCTGCTGCTGAGTCACTGCCCAGAGGATGTTTAACAAGGGCTGGATCCTGCAGTAGTTTGTGGATGGGGATGTGCCGTTGCCTCTCTGCAGCCACGTGATGTCAGAACCCTTCAGGCTGCTCTTGTCCCCGAGGCCTCTGCCCTGGTAGCTCCAGATGTGCTCCAGATGCACACTGGGGTCTCCATGGGGACACAGCTATGGGGCACCCCAGGAGCCACCTCCCTCTGGCTGGAGGAGCACATCTGGCAGGGCTGCCTATAGCCCTGGTATAGGACATTGCCACCACCTTCCTGTGCTGTCACCAAAGCAAACAGCACCTGGGCACCTCCCTTTTGCTCTGATTTGGGGGAAAGGCACCTTCCCCATGCTGTGTGCCCAGAGGATGCTGAGGGACCCCAGGCAGGGCAGGGCCAGACCCATTCCCATCCCCATCATCTTGAGCACCCCAATGTGTCCCCACAGGGACTCCTACAGCCGCTTTGTGCCCGAGGGCGTCCTGGCCAACACCCTGGGGGTGCTGCTGGTGGCCTTCGGGCTCGTGGTGGGCTACGTCTTGACACGGGATGAGTGGAAGCGCCCGCCCCTTGCCGAGGAATTGGCCCTCTCCATGGACTTCAAGACCCTGACGGAGGGGGAGAGCCCCGGTGGTGGCAGCCAGTGATGCCCCTGGCTCCTACGGGATGTTTCCCATGTGCCCTGGGGGGCTCTGCCCGGCTCAGGGTACGAGGACCACGGGGGAAGGACGCGCTCGCTGGTGTTAATGCTGGATTCAGCCTCGCTTGGCCTTCATCTTCCTCAGCTCTGCCCTACACAGCCCCTGGTGCCCCTGAGCCTGCCCCCAGCCCCATAGGGCACAGGCAGGGGCTGGCTCTGCCCAGGGGACCAGCAGTGGGGGCGCTGGGTTTGGCCACACGTGGGGGCTTGGAATGATGCCGGGGTCTGTGCAGGTTCAGCATCTTTGTGTCCGAAGCCTTCTCCTCTCGTGCCATGTGTTGTCTGCTCCGTGGGCGCTCTCAGCCTAATAAATGTCTGCAGCCAACTCTGCCCTCCTCCCGTCTCGCATCCTTTCATGGTCCGAGGGCCTGGGGGAGGCAGGGTCTGTTTGGGATGAGGTTGTCTTGTGCTGAGCAATGGGCACCGCAGCGCTTGGTGTCCATGGGGACATATCCAGGGGATGTCCAGAGATATAGCACAGGGGTCTTGGATGTACCCATGGAAGTGGAGGGGACCCACTGCCAAGAGGTTTGGGCTCATCTCCCGTATCCCAGTGCTGCAAAGCAAACACAGCCCCTGGTACTAGCTACATCCCATTGTCCCCCAGTCTCCCACTGCGCATGCAGCCTGGCTCAGCAGCCCCAACGACACCATTCCCTGTCCTGTCAACAGCCCTTTGGTAAGGGCAAGAGCAGCACTGCCTCCATCCCCTCCTGCTCCTGGCGCTCCCCATCCCCACACAGCGACAGCCAGACCGGACTCTGGTGCTGCCCTGATGTTCCGAGGTCTTTTCCTCACCGTAACAGGGACACGGAGCTGTTCGAGCAAGTCCAGAGGGAGGCCACGAGGATGCCCAGGGGCTGGAGCACCTCCTGTGTGAGGACAGGCTGAGAAAGCCAGGGCTGTTCAGCCTGGAGAAGAGAAGCTGCATGGAGACCCCAGAGCAGCTTCCAGTGGCTGAAGGGGGCTACAGGGATGCTGGAGAGGTGCTGGGCTGGATGGAGCTGAAGGTGCCAACCCAACCCCTTCAACTGGTTCTATGGCACGCATGGGAAGAACCCCAGGCCAGACGCCGTCTCCAAGTGTTAACCATTTATAAATAAGTACATTTGTTCATACATACAGTTTCATTGTACAGATTACAACCTGTATACATTGGGGGCCGGGGAGGGGGGGAAATGCATTCTTTTGAACTTTTCACATCTATCTCACAGCTCACATGTACAGACAAGAAAACTCTGCTCAAGCAAATACAGCAAAGGAAAAAATATGTCTTCTTCTTTCCTTATACATGAGAGGCAAAAGCCTCCGCTGTTGGCAGGGGCTGCTCTTCCCACTGCACAATATCACAACTGTGTGGTGTTCAATATATCGGTAGAGAGAACAGAACATGCATTGAATAATATACTGTACAGAGAGAGGAAGTCCTTTACATCGGAGTTATAGAAAAGCTAAAGGAAAACGGTGAAGTGTCTTAAAGATCTTCCCAGCAAGTGTCTCGGAGGATGGCAGCCAGGGGGGTGTACAAAGCACAAGGTGTGTGTACTGCACGTGTCTGTTCCAAACTCAGCTCCTCGCGGGCGTGAAGACAGGAGGGAGACAGGACGTTGAATGCAACACTATGGGAAAGAAAAGGCTTGGTTGGACAGGGCTGGCAGAGTCCACGGGAGTCTCTGGGTTGTCGGAGTGGCAACAGAACAGGCTTGACGTGGCGCACGGCGCTGCTCCCGGGGTCTGTTAGAGCACAGCGAGGCAGCGACCCAGTCCCTGGGCATGGGGCTTCCAACCCACCCAGCATCACCCGGAAGGGACAAAGTCTTTTGGCACAGCAGCCATGGGATGCGATCCCGGAGGAGGGGACCTGGCTGCTGCCTCCCCAGTACGGTGACAGGTAGGAAATGAGCAGGAGGGAAGGATGCAGCGGGTGGGTTTGGTGTCTGCCGGCTCTCCCGGTGACGGTCGCGCTGTGTTTTCCCTCGGGTCGGGCTGTAAGAGTTGAGGTGGGATCCAGCTGCACAGTCAGGAGTTGGACACGAATGCATCTTGCTAAAGAATTGAGCCCTTAGTGGTTTGTATTAGAAAAAAGAGTTTGATTGAACACAAAGAAAGGAAAATCCCAGCAATTATTCACACACATCTGAAAAATAAAATCACAGATTCACTCTCAACCATTGTGCTTTGTGTCCAACGTGCACCCACACAGAGCAACCAGCACGGGGTGAAGGCATTTATCCGCAGAGGTCCCGGCAGGTACCACAGCTCTTCCCCTAAGCCCTTGGTTAAACACCATTAACAGAGGAGCTATCCTGAATTCCCAAGGCTAAAAGCAAAGTACAACCAGCGAAGAGCTTGCCTCAGCTCGCTGCGGACCCCCCTTGGCGAGGAAGAGGAGGCACACTGGCTTGCTTGTTTCTCTAGGTAAGGCGGAGCTGGCACTTGGGTTTGAGCTCGGCTTCTTCTGGGTCACCCTGAATATGCAGCGGCCTTTGCAGGAGGGGACAGGGTCTCTGCAGCCAGCCTGGCTCCAGACCTAACCCAAGCGTGGCTGAGGCGTCCGTCACCCGCACATGCGGTGCTCACACTCACCAAGAGGTTTTCCTTTACAGCCAGGTTAAAGGAAAACACCCCCAAAGGTCCAGTGCTCGGATGGACCCACCTGCGGGCACCGGATGGACGGAGGGATGGATGGATGGACAGACAGCACCTTGGCTGGCACAGCCTGTGCCCTTCCCAGCAGTGATGCGGAGCAGGCGGCTCAGGCTGTGCGGTGCCTTCGCCTCCAGAGACCGATCCTGAGGGATGTATCTTGGTAAAACCCTCCCTTTACAAAGCACTGACAACCACTTCGAGAGCCCTCCAATGCTGGTCCCAGCATCCTCCCAGCCTGGGAGACCAAGAGCCGGTGAATCCCCACTGAGGGACACGGCAGACATGGACACCCCAAGCTGGGAGAGAAGATTCCAGCCGTGGGCAGGGGACGAGAGACACCCGGTGGGAAGGGCACCTAAGTACATGGGTCGGCTTCAGCATCGCCACCCAACGCGCCCCAGGAACCAAACCTGGAGGTTTCCATGTCATCAAGAACCTGGTTTCCTTGGTGCACCCAAGAATCCTCCTCAATCTCAGACAGGGGCTTGCCAGCGGTGCTACTGCAGCCAGGGAGGGGACAGAGGCGCTGCTGGCAGCATCACCCCACATCTGGATTACTCCAAGAGTAATTCAATACACAGCATGGATGGAGAAGGCAGCACCGTGTCTGAAACTCTGCACGTGCTCCCCAGCACAGCCTGCCTGTCAGACCGACAGCCGAGATGAGAAGGGGAAGGGACATCAGTGAGCTCCACTGAGCCACGTGGACAACAGCGCGCTGCACAACAGGACCACGCACAACAGCACAGCACAGCACCACCTCTGCTTTTCCTCCCTGCCAAATCCAAAGCCTGACTTTGAGGACACAGGGAATGGCTTTTCCAGGGAGGGGTGTGCTCCTTATTCACCTGGGTACCACAGCAGCCACCCTGCCTCAACCCTCCCTAACAGGATTGCTGGGGAAGTGCTTTAAAGCCACTGCAAATCATTTTGTAGGTAAAACTTACTCAACCTGTTGATGCTTATATACAAGAGTCAGTTCTTGTGCTATAAATGGTCAGATTCATTGCTTCGTTTCTTTGCTTTTTTTCCTCCTTTGTGAAAAATACACGAAGAGACAAGAGCTGCTTTGCTATTTCTCTAACGAAGACACTACTCACGCTTAAATAGCCAGTATTTCTCATAGTAACAAACAGTAAAGTGCACCCATTTACAGAGAGAACAGATGGAAAACCATTAGTGCAAGAATCCTGTGAGAAATGTGAGCACGTGCTATTGTGAACAAACCTGCACACTGCAGCACTGAAGCCTTCCTGCAGCTTGGTGGTTGTGTTACAAGTGTGAGCTGTTGTCTTTTTCCCTTAGAACATCTTCATCAACCCAAAAGCTACACACAGAAGTGCTGTGAGGGGATGCTCCAGGACAGTAATGGGAGCACGAGGCAATGAATAGGGAAAGCAAGGCATAGGCTCCATCACTGCTCCCGCATCATCTGTTTGCATCCCAGTGGAGAGAACCTCGCCTGGATGTGAACAGGGGTGGGGCTGAATTTGGTTACCTTTCCCTTTCAAAGAAGCAACTAAAGGAGGAAGCTACTCAGTGGCTCAGAAAGCTGGAGGATGGGAGGCATTGAGCAAAGCGACTACTCCAGACCCACGGATAGGCACGTCCTAGCTATAGGTGCACTGTGTGCAGAGAAGAAATGGGTTATTCCTTACGAAGCAGAACATGTTGCTTCAAAACAGAGAGGAAGGGAACAAAAAAGCCCATCACACCCCCTTTGCAAGGAGGGGAACAGTGCAAGGAGCTGCATGTCCCCACAGCCACGGGGAGCCTGCCCTACCAAGGGGTCTCCCAGTCTTACCTCCCTGCTCTACAGAGCCCTGCAAGGAAGCAAACAGTCAGCACTAGGATGCACCTCGAGAAAGAACACAGTGACCTCAATCCAAATCCACAGGACAAACACCAAAGAGCCCCAAAGAGCCCCAAAATCACCAAAGCCTATAGAGGAAACATGTCTGTGAGACACAAGCCTCTGCCACCCCAAGGCGTGCGCATCCCAGGCACAGGACAGCAGTGAGATGTGCTGATCCACACACAGAAAGACACCGAAATAACCCCACTGAAGCCAGCTTGAAGAGTTTCAGACCAAGTCCTGAGCTGATGTAAATGGATGGAGCTGCACGGATGTGGCGCTGGGGATCTGCTCATTTACACCAGGCTGGACCCCATGGTTTGGCTCGAGAAGTCTTGCAATCTATTCGCATAGCCCTTTGGAAACACCCCAACTCCTGCTCAGCACTGACATCACTCTCAAGAGCTGATACGAGGGAGGTTCAGCATCAGGCAACAGGCACTATTTTGCTTTAAAACAAGCTACAGTTATCGCTCTCCCCCTC